ACATGAAATTGATATTTCACTCTCCCACCCAAAGATAATCACTTTTAACATTTTGATCTTTATCTTTCTAGAACTTACCTATTATGTGTGTGCTAGGATCCACAACAAAGACTTGCTTTAGAAACACAAGAATTAGGGCCAAGACAGCTAGTGACTCTGTGTGTGTGTGTGTGTGTGTGTGTGTGTGTGTGTGTGTGTGTGTGTGTTGTTACTTTGGAGACCAAAGAGTTTAAAAGAAAGAACTGGCCTGCTCTCCGGGTTGGGTCGCACTTTATCAATACATCTCCTTACTGATTTATTTCATAAATATTGCATTCCCTACATCCTGCGTACTGAGTGAGGGCCGGCATAGTGTGGATCTGTGTTCCTCCCCGCACTGTGTGTTGCTAATGATTTTACCGAAGAAAGGACAGGGCCTGGTACAGAAGCTGGTTGTCATCTACATATGACTTCACCGCAGAGATTATGTGGAGGAGGAGCTGGATGAGCAGCGTCTCTTCTTGGAGGACAGTCTGGGTCAGCACAACGTTCGCTCACCGGGGCTCTGACCTCGGGATCTACTGCGTTGTCACTGGCAATAGCTGTACACTGAATATGGCACCCAAGCAGTGCTCCGTGTGCCCTCTTCGGTGACTCTGTCAGCGGCCAGCATCTCCCGAGCACTTACTCTGCAGTCAAGAGGTTGACTCCTCAGGACAAGCCTGCTAGACAGAATCTCCTTCACAGACGAGGGAACTAAACTTCAGAGAGAGATGCTCAAGGTCACCTGACTGCGAGTAACAGCCAGCATCTCCAAACCCTCAACTGCCCTGTCAGACGAAACTTACCACTTCTTAATAATAAGCACCCATGCAGCTCCCCAGATTCAGTCCTGAATTTCCCTGTGAGTGCTGCGTCATAGGCATTTAAACATCAAAGCCACTATGAACAATATTTACCAATAGAAAACTCACTTTGTTTCCTTTTTTTGTTTTTGAGACAGGGTCTCTTTATGTAGCCCTGGCTGTCCTGGAACTCGCTCTGTAGACCAGGCTCTCCTGGAACTCACAGAGATCCACCTGTCTCTGCCTCCTGAGTGCTGGGATTAAAGGCGTGCGCCACCACACCTGGCCAGTTTTCATATTTTTAAATCTTTCTTGAGGCAGAGTCTCCAGTATCCCAGGCTGACCTCAAGCTCACTTTGTAGCCCTGGATGACCTTGACTGGGTCCTGGTGCACTACATGGGTGCTTATTAATTAGAAGTGAGACCCAGTTGTTATGATAGTGTGAGACAGAGGCCTGGGCGGGTGGTGCCCCATGGCAGATGAGACAGAGTTTTGTGCATCTGTGAAGATGCAGTGAAGAGTTTTATTTGGTGGGGGGAAGAGAAAGAGGAAAAGAGATGGGAAGAGAGAGGTAGATGGAGTGGGGGGAGGTGCGTGCTATCTCATGGCAAGAGAGAGGGAAAAGAGAATGAAGGGGTGGAGTCCTTTCTTAAGGGAACAGAACACAGAATAATGGCAGGATGCTAGTCGGGCCAGAGTATTATCTGTTTATTGGCCAGAATAATAAGAAGTGGGTCTGAATGCTAACACCAGGGTGCACCATGCCTGGTTTTATGCAGTGCTGGGATTGTAAGTAAATTTGTTGCAACTCTGTGGGTGTGGTGCCAGATTTCGGTACCAAAATGTGAGTTTTGCAGCTCTGGGAAGAAGTACCCGGACCACTTGAGAGTCAGGGGATGGCTGGAGCTGCGATGAGACAGCAGCCCTGGAGGGCGAGGTGGCTGCTTAGAACAGCTGACAGCTGGAGGGGGAGGGATCCTGGATGTCGGGAGCCACTTAGGACAGCTCTGCCCTGGAGGGGAAGTCAGGCCTGGAACTGCTTCAGCAGGGAAGGGGATCCTGACTGTACGGGAGTCAGGCTACACCTGGTGTGGTGGGGGATGGTCTCCCCGCAGGATAGAGCAATCCTGCTCCTCTCCTGGAGAGCTGCTACAGCTGAGCTTTGCCCAGCCCCCACTTAAGGGGGCTTCCTAGCAGAGCTCTGCTTCTCCGGCCTAAGATGTTGCTGCTTTTGCTTCACTCTGCAAAAGCGGAAACCCCTGCAGAAATGTAGCAATCTCCTCCGGCTCTGGAGAAAAGTGTTAATTTTTCACCTCTCTCTTGCTCTGTCCACTGAGGGACATCTCAGTAAGACTCTTCTGTTAGCCAGTGAATGAAGATCTTCACACCCAAAACTCTTTTGAGAAAGAGATTTATTTGAAAATGAGGAATCCTGAAAGTAGCTGCCTCTACCAGGGTGGAGAGAACAGCCCATAACTGACGAGGCAGGGTTTATATAGGATGTCTTGCGGGGTGGGGGTGGGGGGTGTCAACCAGTGATTGGTTAGTTTTTTTTCTGCCCAGGGATTGGTCAGTTTTGTGGGCTAGAGGCAGAGATGGCCCTGATTTCAGAGCCAAACTGTGTTTCTTTCACTGACCTTTCTTGGCTTTTTTGACACTGCCTCTAAGGCCAGGGCACATTTCTTTCACTGACTGATTCTAGGGGCCAAGAGTGTTACTTTGGTACTAGTTTCAGAGTCAGGGCATGTTTCCTTGGTTCTGGGTTTGAGGATAAAGTGTTCATTACTCTGGCTCAGGTCCCAAACCCAGGCTGTGTTTCTTTCCCTGGTCCTGGGCCCCAGGGCCAGGGTGCTACCTTCCTGCTCTGTGATTGGTTGGTTCACAAGTCACCAGGGGCAGAGATGGCTCTGATCTCACTGAGCCCAGGGCCAGGGTGCTACTCTGTGATTGGTTGGTTTCCCAAGTCAGTTGGCCAGGGGCAGAGATGGCTCTGATCTGACTGAGCCAAACTGTTTCTTTCTGCCCTGATCTGAGCCATCTTCCCCTAGTTCTGGGCTCCAGGGCCAGGGTGGGTTTCTCTAGCCAGCCCCTTTTCCTTACAGGGATGGAACTCCAAGCTTTTGCATGTGAGGCGATCACGCCACCAACTGAGCTCCACCCCAGCCCAGAAGTTCCCACTTTGTATTTTAAATTCACGTTATTGGAGCTTTGGAAAAGTCTTCACTAATTAGTGCATTTCATTTTTCTTTCTGATGTTTCTAAAGAAAAATAAAGCTTGCTCGCTCTCTGTGGGGTTTTAATGTGGTGAAATAAACCAAGCACTGACGTTACCGTTGTAACCGTGGGGCAGGTCAGTGGACCCATTGTAACCGTGGGGCAGGTCAGTGGACCCATTGTGCCGCCGCATCAGCGCTGTCCTTCCTCTTGAGGGTTTTCATTCCCCCGGGCTGCGAGCAAGCGGTAAAGGGCAACTTCACATCCCCCAGGGATCGTGGTTTGTAACGGAAAGAGATCCTACATTTCGCTTTATTTGCTTTATGCAAGTGAGCACATAATTGTTCTCCTGCTGTGAGGGAGGGGGATATTAGCTAATACAATGGCAAACTCAGAACCTACTGACAAAGGTGTGTAATTTGTGAAAGAGCTGACTGGGCACAATTCTGATTTCCAGTTGCCCTCGGTGCTCACATGCACCTCTGGTAATGCTTTCCCTGGGCGTGTTTACGCTGATAAAAATCACATCCACTCACAAAGTGCCAGCTTAATTATAAGAACCACATACCAAGCTTGAGGTTTTACATTTTCTTTTCACAGATGCTTTCTGATTTACAGATGAGACCATTCTAACTGATTGCATAGCTTTGGAGCAGTAGGGCTGTGAGTCCCATTCTCTCTCACACTAAGACACCCTTTGGTCTTTTCCTTTACCTTCTGGGCACTGGTTTCCCTGAGTGGCGATTCCACAGCCTCCCAAGGTCCTTGCTGTGACTCCAATGTCAGACAAATGTACAAAGTTTCCTGTCTGAGTTAGGATTTCTATTGCTGCAACGAGACACCATGACCAAAAAGCAAGTTAGGGAGGAAAGGGTTTATGGGCTTACACTTCCACATCAAAGTCCATCACAGAAGGAAGTCAGGACAGGAACTCAAACCGGGCAGGATCCTGAAGGCAGGAGCTGATGCAGAGGCCATGGAGGGGAGCTGTTTACTGGCTTGTTTCCCATGGCTTGCTCAGCCTACCTTCTTATAGAACCCAGGACCAGCATCCCAGGGATGGCACCACCCACCATGGGCTAGTCCTCTCCCATTGATCACTAATTGGGAAAATGCCTTACAGCTGGATCTCATGGAGGCATTTCCTCAACTGAGGCTCCTTCCTTTCTGATGACTCCAGTTTGTGTCGAGTTGACACACAAACCAGCCAGTGCACTTTCCTGTGGTTTGGGATGCAGGCGAGGGTGGAGCAAGTTAATTAGTTCCCATTGGGAAAGACATTTGTCTCCATACTCAGCTGACTTGGCCGCAGCCAAATCACTTGAGCTCAAAATAGTAATCATGAAAACGGCCCCGCCAGGCAGCAGGAGCACTGTGAGTCCCAAGGCAGCCTGAGCTAGATAGTGAGTTCCCGGCCAGCCTAGGCTACAGAGACTCTTTTCTCAAAAGCAGCAACAGAAATAGTTTAGACTCTGAGCCATGCCCCAGCCGCTGTTCTCACCCAAAATTCTGTGAGGTGGAAATGAGTGATCGTTTTCCACATGGGATAGCTAAGGAACAGAAAGACCATACAGTGTGCCTCAAGTGCCCAGTTAACAAGCAGTACTCAGAGCAGGCACATGAGCTCTTCTGGCAGGAGGGGCCCTTGAGAGAGTATTGGGTTAGAGCAGACGCTCCCCCCACTCCAAGCCTGGAATCCCTCCATGGCTGAACAGTGTTGTGGCTCAGCCCGGGTTAGGCGAAGGCCTGGAGATGGAGACTCCACCCAGGGAAGGTTGAGGATCGGCGAGAGTCCCTCCCAGGCATTTGTTATGTGCACGCCTGCGTCCTTACCCTGCTCTCAAACTGAGCCATCGGGTCCAGTTACCCCAAGGTCACCGTCTAAATCACCTTGTGACAAGTTTTCAAATGCAATGAGTCCAGAGAAAACCACAATTCCCCTTTCTCTGTTTTAATTATAGCCGCTTGGAGCAAGTGATTATTTGGAATTGTCGAAGAATTTTGATACAGTGTTTGTACGGAACATTCCGCAGTTTTCGCTGGCAAAGCGGACTGAAGCGCGACGATTCATAACTCTCATCGACAACTTCTATGACTACAAGGTAAGGATGGACTCCATCTCCGCAGGACCGTGAAGCCAGGTGACCTGGGTCAGAATCCTGGCTGTACCAGTTCCTTTACTGCTGTGCCTCAGTTTCCCCATCTGTAAATAGGGGCTGACAGTATCTAGCCCCAAATTGTTGTTGTGAGGACCACACAGGTTGGCTCATGTAGAATACTTAGAACAACACTTGGACCGAGCTGAATGCTGTGTACTTCCTATTAAAAAGAGCAGCAGCTAGTGTCAGGCCCCACCGAAAGTCACTGTTGCTACATTCATGTCCCATCATCCGACAAGTAGGACTGTGCGCCCCAGGCCAAGTGCTCAGTGCACGTGTGTTACCTGAATGCTTGGCTGGGCTGAGAATGATGAGTGACCCTTTGCCTTGTTGAAATGTTCCCCATGGCCCTCCCCACCTCCACCCAGGAACTCACTAGCAAGAGACATCCTGCTGCTCTGTTTTTAATCCCTGTGTCTTAGCAGGCAGTTCAGAGCCCTTGCCTGCCCACAACAGGCAATATAGCCTAGTAGTTAAAGGGTAGACCCTGGCACCAGGCTGTCCCGAAGACTGGCTCGGCCTCTGAGCATCGGCTGCCTTCTCTAGAAGGGTAATAATACTTGTGTGATTTTGTGAGGATGAAAGGATTATATAAAGTACTGAGAGCCTAGTGTGGCAAGTAGTGTACCTCCAATCGAGGCCCAATCTCACAGTGTATACCTCTACAAAGAAGACACCCACAGTAAAGATAGGGCAAGCATTTCTTGTAAACTACTGGAGATTTTCTTCACTCATCTTTGCACAGAATTAGAGCAATAGTTTTAAAATTGAGGGAACTTTGTAGGGAAAGAGGCATGTAAGAGAAGACGGGAGAGTTCAATGTTCCATTTACTCTTTTACTCAATGACCTCTGTGACCCTGAGCAAGGTGTGGGCTAAAAGTCAAGGGCAGTTGAGATGCTGTGGTGCCCATCAGGGAGCCTGCAGCCTGGGGTCTGAGCAGCATGAATCTCATGTCTGTAGAAATCATGTTCAGTTACCAGTTCAGGATGAGCCCTGGGACACAGAGGACTGTGAGCCTTGAGGTCCAGGGATAGCTGAGAAACCCAGGGAAGTGGTCTAGTTGTATCAGAACCAAAGGGGCCACTTAAAATCCAGATTCCAGAGCCACCTAATCCCCACCCTAGCAAGTGAGGACCAGGCACGGGGCCAGAAGCTCATGTTCCCATGTTCCCAAGGTGCTTCTTATAATGTTCAGGGGGTGGAGGGTTGATTCCAGCACAGGGCAGGAGGGGCAGCCTGGGATGGGAGGGGGGTTGCTAAGCATGTAAGGCAGCCTGTGGGCTCTGGTGAGGTGGCCCAGGAGAGCCTGCTGAGGGCATGCAGCAAAGGCCACCTGAGCAGGGGCTCAGGAGAAGTGGACACTGACGTCAGGGAGCTGAGGCTCCAGGCTCATCGATGTGAGGCGCTGCCCTGTCCTCAAGGCAGGTCTGTACCCACTGAGTGCAGCCTAAGAGGCTGGAGGGTTTTTACACGGCAAAGGTTTCTTGAGGAATACAGTGGAAATGGCATTGGAATAGAGGGTAAAGGCTCAGATGTTTCAGCTGGAAACGCCTTCAGGACAATCTGTTCCCCATTGCTCAGCCTGTCACTCTGTCCTCTCAACCTTTTCACTGACTTAAAGGAGTAAAAGCTTTACCTGGCAGTGTGCTGGAACACTGAAACTACCCCCGGCATTTATTCTAACTAAACCACACGTTTAGATTCTACTCTCTTTTAAAGTATAGTCAAAATTATCCTATTTCAGAAATTGAGAGCATTAAGCAGACATTATTCTAGAATGTATTCACGAAGATTTGTGAAATAGGACATTTCCATCTGAGTAATGGAAAAAGTGTCATTTGTGATTGAAAGAATTTATTAAAATAAAATGGGAATACTAGTCCCTGGAGTCAACATGTTTTAAAGTATCGATATATTTGCTTGAATGATGATTTTTGAAAGGCTGACAGCAAATCTAGGTTCTCTAAACATCCAGGGGGGTATGTTTTGGGGCTGGGCATGTGTATATGCCTATAGCCCTGGTTTATGGGAAGAAACGGTAGGAATATAGTGAATTGGAGGACAGCCTGAGCGACATCACAAGATCTGCCTGGAAAAACAAAATAAAATGAAGAAGTATGACTTGTTTCTGAACGAGTGGACATACAATGCATAAAAGATATAAACTGCTTTCGAGCTATGACCATGTCTGCACACTCACTGAATCCTGAGATAATGAAGGGACATTGATATAAAGCTCTGTGAAGAGTGCCCTGGCAGATGCTAATAGAAAAAAGGTCTGCAGGGGCTGGAGACATGGCTCCATGGTCAAGAGTGCGTGCTGGTCTTCCAGAGAACCCGAACTCCTGTTCCGCACTTACAACTGCCTCTAACTCCGGCTCCAGAGGAACGACACCCTCTTCTCAACTCTGCAGGCACCCATACACACACCCACACAGACATACATAACTGAAACGGAATCTTAGGAAGAGAAAAGGCTTCGGGCAGATCTTCCCGCACCTGTCATGACCCCAAAGCCTCCACCTCTTACTGGTCTTGCCTAGAAATGTTTCAACCGTAAGTTTTGGAGGGTTGACGACATCCAAACCATAGCAGCAAAGGCAAGAGCCCTGGAGTGGGGCCCCAGGATCCGGACTGAGACTGCCCCAGGCCTGGCTTCCCTGTGTAAAGCCTGCTGTCTGTGTCACAGCGTGGTCTAAGATGTGCAGAAATGTACTGAAAAGTGTATACGGTTTTCAAACCATTACTTAACTGCAAACTACTAGGAGAAAGCACAGACATTTTAAAAGGAAAGACCCAAGCTCCTTGTGTGACAACAAACAGGTTTTTATCTTTTTTTTTTTTTTTTTTTTTTTGGTTTTCGAGACAGGGTTTCTCTGTGTAGCTTTGTGCCTTTCCTAGAACTCACTCTGTAGCCCAGGCTGGCCTCGAACTCACAGAGATCCGCCTGCTTCTGCCTCCCGAGTGCTGGGATTAAAGGTGTGCGCCACCACTGCCCGGCCAGGTTTTTATCTTGTGAGAGATTTTCCTTTCAACTTGAGTGTGGAGTCCCACCCTGTGTTCCTTTTCCTGGTTCAGGTGCGGATAATTTGCTGTGCATCAGCTCCTATCCCAAGCTTATTTTTGCATCAACATCATGACAGTGAGTTGGAGCAAAGCAGAATGCTGATGGACGATTTGGGGCTGAGCCAGGTAGGTGATATTAACATAATTTGATCTTGTGGTTTGATGGTTTGGGGTTTGATCCTTGCTACATTTTGCAGAAGGGACCATTGAGTTGATGCCGTCCAGCCAACCTCATCGCCATGTCGGCACATTGAGAGCCTGGTCTTAGAGGCCCTGTTGAGTGTGGAGGCCAATGCTTCGTTTTCACATGGCAGAAACAGAGTTCCGTAGAGTACCTAGCAAGTCCCAGCTTAAGAAAAGAAATCCATGCTTCTTTCCCAGGCTCTCCATTAAGCAAACATCTGCAGAGCACCTCTCCGTGTCAGGCTCAGGTACTCTATAGGAAACACACTGATGTGGTCTGGATTTTTCTCAACTTTGGACTCTAGATTCATTCCAGGCCGAGCAGAGGGGACTGCATTCCCTTCTTCTATGAGAGCATTATAGGGTATATTGATCAGCTATCAACCACTGACCTATTAGTCAAAAATTCAACTGGGGCTGAAGAGGTGGCTCAGCAGTTAAGAGCACTGACTGCTCTTTCAGAGGACCCAGGTTTGATTCCCAGCCCCCACATGGCAGTTTACAATCGTCTGTAACTCTAGTTCCAGGGGATCTGATGCCCTCTTCTGGCATCCATGCATACTGCATGTACATAGTACATAAACATACATGCAGGCAAGGCACCCGTATACATAAAATAAAAAAAATAATTAAGTCTCAAAAAATAAATTTCAATTGTCAGCACTGCCCCCAAGAGTGGGATCACATTCATCCAAGCCCAACAGTGAATTCTTGTTGACTTGCAGCCCCAGGGTGTTGACTGGCTTTATAGTGGGAGGGGTCCCCAATATACCCTTCAGCAAGGAGACCAATATCCCAGTAGCCAAGGACCAAAAACGGCTCTAGTCTTTGCAAAGCTGGATTTCAGGTAGGCTTTCCAGAGCCAGGACCCACAGGACCTTTCAGTCACTCAGTCTACAAAAGGCTCTTTGGAGATCTGGCCCCTGGGGCTTCCTAACCTACTAGAACTTCTGGGTTTTCTTTTTTGGGTTGTTAAGACAGGTATTGCTTTAAACTTGCAATCTTCCTGTCTTAGCCTATGGAGTTCTGGGATTACAGGGTAAGTGGCCACGCCTAGCAAAACTATCATTTTTGCTGTTAGCTACTTTTGGAGAGAGATTTCTTTCCAGCATGTTCCTTTTAGAGTTTGCAAAGAACTTCCATTCTGAGCAAAATCTTTTTGGTTTCTCTGTTTCAGCTTTGGTCTGATATTTTTCTTTTCTTTTTCCTTCCTGGTTCTGTTGGTTACCTATTAGTTTAAATCAGTTAACACTTTAGTCCCATTTAAGAGATGGTGTATGACAAAAAGATGGAAAATACATTATCTAAATAGATAAGCCTGAAGGGTTTTTCAACCCGGGTTTGGTCCACAAGCCTTCCTTTGGAGTAGCCGGTTTTCACTGGGTTTGTGTTTGTCTGCTCCCAGGACTCGGCAGGGCTCTCCATGTTCACTGGAGAGGAGGAAGTCTTCGCCTTTCATCGCACGGTCTCCCGGCTCACAGAGATGCAGACTGAGCAGTACTGGGAGGAAGGGGACAGAAGCAAGAAGTGACGTCACTTCACAGGAATAAAAACAGGAGGGACTGGTGAGGGCTGTGAGACTGGACAAAATCATCTCATCATCGACCATGCACTTTGTCCCCCAGACTTGTCATCTGAGGCAGTGGACGAGCACACTGAAGGCTTGTCTTTGTAGACCCATGTTTTACCCATTTATTTGGACTTACTTCTACATCATACAATGAAATCATCACTCCTGAAGATTACTATAAAACCTGACATGTTAGCACCTGAACATGTTAGAGCCTTGAACATACGAACACACAGCAAATGCAGGATGCCTGGGCATCTCTAAGCTTTGGCTACACAGTAGTCACACCTTAGAAATACACTGGCTATAAGAAGCAGGTGGAATCCTACTTTTCAGTTTAAAACAAAGAGAGCTTTCCAGAAACTGAAGGGAAAAGCATTCTACGTTGACCTCTGTATTCCTGCTTGTTGGTTGGTTATGAATTGCAATCACCCACAGGCCTGTGGTTTCCTCAGTGCTGGAAAGAGCCTGTGTTCTAACCCCTACATCCAGGTTGGCAGGCAAGACCTGGCCACGTGAGGACATGGATCACAAAACCAGCAGGCGAGGAGCAGGTGGGAAATTCCAACTAACAGGCAGGTTTACCTCCCCTCTGCTAGCCAAGGAGGCAGGTGCCAGCAATGTGACTGTGGAGGAGGCAGAGCCATGGCCACAGCAGCAGCAGAGTGAACCCCATCACCCAAGGTGCCCTCCTCCATTCGCCCACACCTGCTCTCGCTGCGGAGTTCACAGCCCACCCTTGATGCTGAGTCTGCGAAGAGTTGGACCTCATAGGGAGCAGGAGAGGACACTTGACAAATCTGTAAATAAAAGCTGATTTCTCCTTCACTGAGTTTGTGTGAGTCGTTTAAGTGAAACTTGTCTTTGCTAAATATTATCACAAAAGGGGATTTGGGTTGTGGTTACTCAAGGGCTGGAGAGATGGCTGAGCAGTTAAGAATGCTTGCTGATCTAGCAGAGGGCCAGAGTGCGGTTCCCAGCATCCATGTCAGATAGCTCAAACCTCAAGGGATCTGAGGTCCTCTTCCAGCCCCCAGGGCTCCCGCATGCTCAGTCCATGTACACAAATAGACATCTTCCAGCCTCCAGGGCACCTGCATGCTCAGCCCATGTACACACATAGACATCTTCCAGCCTCCAGGGCACCCACATGCTCAGTCCATGTACACACATAGACATCGTCCAGTCTCCAGGGCTCCCACATGCTCAGCCCATGTACCCACATAGACATCTTCCAGCCTCCCGGGCACCCACATGCTCAGCCCATGTACACACATAGACATCTTCCAGCCTCCAGGGCACCTGCATGCTCAGCCCATATACCCATATAAAAAAACATGCATACACATGAATAAAAAATAAGTTGTATTTTTAAAAGAGAAAGAGAATCTTAGATCCTGGACCAGTGAGATGGCTCAGCAGACAAAAGGGCTTGCTGCATAACTCTAACGTGAGTTCAGTCCCTGGGACCCACAGTTGAAGGAGAAAACCGGGTTCTCAATGTTGTCCTCTGACCTCTGTCCTCTGCCTGGAGTCAACACACACACATGCACATAATAAATAAAGTCCTTTTTAAAAAGACTTTCTTAATCCCTCTTCAGAAAAGAAAAACTATGCAACCCCCAAATGATATGAAAATCAACTATTTGGGAGAGTAATCAAACAATCATATGCCTGTCAATATAAATAGGTTCTTTGAGGTTATTTGTCATTTAATAATCTGTCCATATCTTTCTGTTTTGGATATTAACTCTTTCATGTCAAGCAGATGGATGGATGAGTGGGATACTCAAGCATGGGGGGAAAAAGTTTGAATTAGGGCTTCTGAAAGTTAAATGTGGTGTAACACTGTATGCATGTACATACAGATGGATGGATGGATGGGTGGGTGGATGGATGGATGGATGGATGGATGGGCAGGTGGGCCAGTGGATGGATGGGTGGAAGGGCGGATGGATGGATGGGTGGATGCATGGGTGGATGGATGGATGAATGGATGGATGGATGGATGGATAGATGAATGGATGGATGGGTGGATGGATTGATGGATGGGTGGATGGATGGGTGGGTGGTTGGGTGGGTGGATGATGGATAGGTGGATGGGTGGGTGGGTGAGTGGATGGATGAGTGAATTTTTGTGGTGCTGGCTACCAAACTCAGGGCCTTCCCCTATGCTAGGTAAGTGCTTCACCACTGAGCTATCTCACTCAGGCACACCCCAGTCCTAAAACTTACCTTTTGCTTTGCACATTTTTTTTTAGCTTTAATAAGACAGTGTAGATGGATAGACAGATGGACAGAGGACTGACAGAAAAAGGAACTGTCCCTGAGTGTGTGGTATTGGTGGTACAGTGCCCAACTGCAGCTCTTCATTCTGGGTCAGGGTTTGGATGTGAAAGCTTGTTGGAGGGTCCAGTGAGAAAACACAATACTATGTGCACATGACAGCAAAGTGGCCTCTGCTGGACAAGGTTGTCTTCAACAGTGCGGAGCTTCAGGAAGGACACGTGGATTGAAGAGGAAAAGGCGGGTGTTGTGGAATATTCCTTTACACTGTGTGAAGGTGTGTCACTGTGATTGCTTTAATAAAAGCTGAATGGCCAATAGCTAGACAGGATTTCCAGGCACAGAGGATGCTGGGAAGAAGAAGGATGGAGACACCAGGAGACTTGGAGGAAGCAGCGTGGGCAGTACAGAGTAAAGGTAGCTGGGTCATGTAAAAGAATGTAGATTAAAAGATATGGGTTAATTTAAGTTATAAGCACTAGTTAGAAACAAGTCTAAGCTATTGGCCAAGCTTTCATAATTAAAATTAAGTCTCTGTGTCATTATTGGTGAACTGATGGTCCTGATTAAAAATCTGCCTACATATGGCGTCCAACATATATCCACATAAGGCCTGAGAAAGCTAAAAAAAAAAAATTGGAACACAGAGTCAAACGCTGGTGTGGCTTCCTGGTGACCGAGGTCTCTGGTAGGCTCAGCATACAGAGACTGTCTGGGGGTTGGAGCTCCAGCACCATGCTCTAAACTGAGCCATACTGGAAGCTGACATAGCAGTTTAAGATTTGTCTCACATTATCAGAAAACACTGCAGATGCTTAGTAAAGCCAGATCCAAACACAGAAAACCATGTTTAAAAATGTGCTTAAGTGCTAAAGAAAGAAAAGAAAATGGGTATAGACAATCATAAAAAAATAGTTTAAAGTCTTTAAAAAGAAAAAATAATATTTTTTAAAAGACCACATAAAGATGGGAAATACACAGGGCGTCTGGATCCTATATGGTGTTTTTTGACTTTGAATGTTTTGAATGCTAATGAACAGACAACAGCTGCTGAGAGACATGGGATAGTAGAAGGGACTGCTGAATTAAACCACCCTATGTACTTTAGGAATGCCTTAACTTTAAAGTGGAAGTCAGAAAATGTATTACTTTGGTGAAGAGGTTATACTTTTGTTTCCACAGAAAACAAAGGGCTGTGGATTTGTTCAAGGTTAGAAAGGATCAGGTTTGATCGGGGAAGACCCCCTGAAAATCCTGGCTACAGATATAAAGAAATAAATCTAAAACAAAACTATAAGACAGGTGATGTATATTTTACCTGCTCAAGCATAAAACAAAAAATCATCTTTGGCTGGCTTGTGTACAATGCACAGTCCACATTTGTATTAGTGTATATATATATATATATATATAGATAGATATAGATAGATAGATAGATAGATAGATAGATAGATAGATAGATATATGTTACCTTTGGAAGTTTGTGTGTATTTAGAACAAGGGGACCAGACACCAATGAAAATGGGTGTCCCAGCTAATCCAGCCTCTGAGAATACCTCTGTTGAAGTTTCCTCAGAGTTCTACATACAAAACAGCTTCAAGGCTGCTGGCTGAGATGGTCCAACCTCACAGACTACTCCAGCTAGACTTCAGATAAGCCCTACACTTTCCCATCACATCGAGACTAGACAACAACTAGCTCTCCTGGGACTTGACTATTATCTTAATTTTCTCAGGGTCTCCTAAAGATGTCACCCTCAGACAACAGGAAGCAGTCTAGGGAACACAGAGCCCACATTCTCAAGAGGTGGAGTGAATGGTTTTTGATCATCTGGTGGGTTATGGATGTTTGTCATCATTTAGGGGGGTTGGTTACAATTTTTTATTGGTCATAGTCAGGAAAAAAGCTAAATAAAGGTGATTAGATTCAAGGATCTCTTTCTGAAGGGAAAAAATGAGGATATAATATAGAAATGATGCAATAAAAGGGTAGATTGTTGAGTCTACTTTTAAACAACCACTAGTCTCAAATATTATACATTGGTATGGATTTTTGTATATTGATGTATACATGTAAGGTTATTTTTGTTATACTGTATAATTTTTGTTATACTGTATATGTTTCTGTTCTTGTTTAAGATAGTGTAGCTATGCAGCTCATTTAAAAATGTAATGTAAAGTTTTAGTCTTTGAAAGCTACTTAGGATAATAAAGAAATAGAGGTTAACAATAGTCATCTATAACAATCAAACTTAGAGTCATTTTAGGTATGTTTTTAAGGTCATACAGAGGTATATTTTAGATATATAGGTGATCTTCAAACACTTCAAAGACCTACAGAATATGGCATTTAAAATCTTTTAATAACATAAGGCTTTTCATGACAGTGAGACATATCTGCTCTTGGCAACACGAATCTACTTCATAAAAGGATGATGGCCATTGAATAACCTCCATATAGAGTTTGCTTTCTTTATGGCAAAAGTTAGCCGTTTGGCCAGGGGCTGCCCTTGCCTAGACTGCTGACAGTATGCTGTCCAAACTGGACATGCAGGACACAAAAGACAGCAACTTCCAAACTTTGCCAAGACAGGTAGGACAGTCCTTTGAAATTCCTGCTTTACAGAAAAGTCTGTCAGATATTCTAGGCCCACAGGCCAAAGATGGATGCCCCAACATTGCAGAGGAACCCTGGGGTGACTGTCCAGACAGCCAACTGTCTCAGTCATTTCTATAGTTTTGGAAGTTGCTTTCTCTGCACTCCGTATTTGCACAAGTAATATTTTATCCTTCTTGGGTCTCTGTTGGAGATTGAAGAGTAGATAGTTATAGTTTCACAGTTTTTCTTGTTACCAAATTCAGAAAAGAAATTACATAAGAGATGTAAAGGTTAAGAAACAAAAGCTTAAGTTATTTGTCTAAAAAGATGTTTTAAGGTCTAAAAAGATATTTTTAGGATGGCAATACAAGTTATGACAAAAAAATGGTTTAGATATAAAACTTTGGACTAAGATAGGATAGCTAATAGAGTATTTTTTCTCAATTTGCCAAATACTAATGAACCGGACATTGTGAATGTATTTCTTACTTGATAATTGTCCTTATTGTACCTAGTTTTGTATTGTTAGAGTTAAAGCCTTTCTATTTTATTTAGACAAAAGGGGGAAATGTTGTGGAATATACCTTTGCACTGTGTGAAGATGTGCCACTGTGATTGCTTTAATAAAAAGCTGAATGGTCAATAGCTAGGCAGGATTTCTAGGCACAGAGGATGCTGGGAAGAAGAATGGTGGAGATGCCAGGAAGCAGCATGGGCAATACAGAGTAAAGGTAACCGAGTCACGTAAAAGAACATAGATTAAAAGATGTGGGTTAATTTATGTTATAAGAGCTAGTTATAAACAAGCCTAAGCTATCAGCTGAGCTTTCATAATTAATAGTAACTCTCCATATCATTACTGAGAACTGATGGTCCTGACAAAAAAATCTGCCTACAGGTAGGGACACCAACTTACCCAGTGTGGTAGTTGGTAGTTGAATGT